CCAGGAGGCGGCCGCCGAGGAGCCGCCGCCGGCGGGCACCCCCGCCGCCTCGGTGTCTGCGCTCGACCTGGGGGAGCAGCGGGAGCGCTGGGAGACGTTCCAGAAGCGGCAACGGCTCAGCTTCGAGGGCGCCGCCAAGCTGCTGCTGGACACCTTGTGAGTGTGGCGGGGGCGGCGGGCCAGCACCTGCCGAGTGCGCACCGGCGGCGGGACCCGAGGCTGAGTGCGGAGCCGGGGGCCAGGCGCCCGCTGCCCCGGCTGGCCGCTCAGGACTGTGTCCGGCTGCATGCGCGGGAGGGCCTCTCCGGGTGAAAAGGACAGACATCCCACGGGTTCCCCGCCACCAAGACCATTTTACCCGTGTTTGCACGTGCTTTCGGAGGGTGGGCGGGAGAAAAGGTCGAAGTGGAGAATTTAGGGGCCTAAGGGAGCGAAGGCCAGTTGTTCTGGGCAGTTCCCGGGAGGGAGGGTGCGGGTTATTGATCCCGGAGGGAAGCGCGCGCAAAGCGCTGTCCTGGACCGACGCGTGCGGGAGGGAATGGGAAGCCCAGGCTTTGTGCTCTCACTGGGGTCCCGGGTGGCAGGCTTTACTTTCTTCTCCTCTATCTCTGCTCCTGAAGTGCTTCCAGCTTCTTAAATGGCCCAGGGAGCATCTCAGGGGTCCTTTACTGGGAAAAAAAGCTGGTAACTACGCCAGCCAGAACTGTCTCCTCTTTACCAAACGGCATGTGAACCCCCTCCTCATTTAACCATTGTGCTACAGAGAAATACTGAATGCCCTAGTCCTACAGGTTTTCACTCCCAGACGAACTGAAAAAGAACAATAAAAGACAAAACTGATATTAACGGAACAATTACTTAAAAATCCGAGCTACTTTTTTTATAAACATCAAGATGTTCTTTTGTCTTTGTTCCAGAAAAAGTTCTCTTGGTGTTGGTGCATCCTCTCAGAAACGGACTATTTATTTAGCTTTCTTTGTGCCTTGCTTTTTAGTTTTAATCCCCCTGGGCTATAAATTGAATACTATAAAATATTAACTTAAAACAAAAACCAATTAAAACTTAAAAAATTAAAAATAACATTTGTTGAGTACTAGCTACTGGGAGGTCTAAGAGGTACTCTATAAAGGTCCGTGGGGCTGGGCACAGTAGCACATGCCTGTAATCCTAGTTTTTAGGAGGCAGAGGTGGAGGGGTACAACGATTTAAGGGCCAACCTGGGCTACAGAAACATCCTTTCTCAGAAGAAAGAGAGAAAGAAAGAAAAGAAAACAGAAACAAGCCAGTGGTAATGTGGTCCGTGTCTGTAAACCCAGTGCTTGGAAGCTGGAGGCAGGAAGATCTGGAAGTTCAAGGTCATCCTTGTCTACATAGTTAATTTGAGGCCAGCCTAAGCTGCATGACACCCTGTCTCAAAATGAAACAAACAAAAAAGCCCCAATCCTTAGACGCACAAAGCCAAAAATTTGAGTTAATATTTTCCCTCGAAAACAAGCAGATAATGATCTAGGAAAAGATAGTAAAAATATTGGCACGAAAAGATGTTTTGCTCACCAGATTAGCATACTGTATGCTGCTTACAGTTACTTTCATGTCCTCTAAGCTAACTTTTTTGTGCCAAGAAAGTGTATGTTATATACACTAACAATTTTGTTCAAATATTGCATAGAAAAAGGTTTGGAGGAATGTATAGCAAATATGGAATCTCTCTTGGTGGGATGATCACAGGGGCTTCTCATTCTGTTACTAAATATAATAACGTTTGCGGGTTTTTTGTTTTGTTTTGTTTTTACACTAAACATCGTCTATGGAAGAAGAAATTGAGATGTTAACTTGTTAGAGGAACCTGAGAGAGGCTTCAGTCTTGCCATTAATCAGATGGCAAAGTAAGGCTGCAGTGAGCGGTTTTTCCTTCATTGTTCACGTGAAATGTTCTCTCATTTATTAGTGGCAAGAATGTCTAGTCTTTTGGGGGAGGAGCTTCAGGATGTTCATTGAGTCTTAATATTCAGTTAGGGGCTGGCCCCAGCTGTATAGAGTTGTGTAAAAAGTCATGTACCTGAGAAGTACAAGAGGAGCGTGAACGGAATTATGAAAGCCTTTGTTATCCCAGAGTTAAGAAAGCCTTTGTTATCCCCCCAGAAAGCGTTTCTGAGTCAGTAGACCCAACTGGGCAACCTGTCTTGCTTTTTCATGGCCACTTGACTGTCTTCATTACAACCAAAATTAAATATTTGGCCAGTTTGCTTGGTGGTTGCTTAAGGTTGGTGAAGACTCTTCTTGGCACTTAGCTTATAAATATTTTTTTTTTTCACTAAACAGTTGACATGTAAATAAAAATGTATGGGTGGGGGAGAGCTAGGCTTCTCCTCTGTCTTCATATTGACTCACTTCTGGGAATGTTTGATTTTACAGTCTTATACAATTCAAGACCGTTCACAGCGGAAAATAACTGAACCTCTTTTATGAAATGTACCTGCTGGTTGTCCCAGCCTGGCTTTCTTTCGAGCACAGAAAGTCAGGAGCCAGGCCACAAGGCCCCCGCCTGCCTGTTGGAAGTTCTTATGCTCTAGTTTTTATTTCGTTTAGTGAGTACCAGGGCCTGGTGAAGCACACGGGAGGTTGCCACTGTGGAGCGGTCCGTTTCGAAGTTTGGGCTTCAGCAGACTTACACATCTTCGACTGCAAGTGAGTATGTTTAGCTTTCCACATTGGCTTAGAAGACTCGAGGGGCGAAAAGGCTGTGTTTCAGATCCGTCTGGGGAGTCAGGGTGTAGAGGAAACAGTGTCGGCCACGAGCTGATAAGTGTTATATCAGGTACTGGGCACATAAAGGTTCATTGTTCTGCTCTTCCCGCTTGTGTGTCTGACTGGGAATTTTCAGTGACAGTTTTAAAAGGTATTCTATGTTATACCTTTAGCATGTGTGGAGGTCAGAGGACCAGCTTGTGGGTGTCAGGTCTCTCCATGGTCGTGGGATCATCCGGCCATCAGGCTGGTGGTGGGTACCATTACTTGCCAAGCCTGCTCACTAGTCTGGTTAGTTAGTTAGTTTTTTGGAGACAGGGTTCCTATGTGTAGTCCTAGCTGTCCTGGAACTCACTGTGTAGACCAGGCTAGCCTCAAAGAAAGAAAGATATCACTGGCCTCTGCCTCCTAAGTACTGGGATTAAAGGTATAGGCCACTACCACCTGGTGTGATTTTTTTTTTTTTTTTTTAAGGTAGGGGACGGCTAAACATTCTGAGTTAGTCAGAGTAACACCTATAGTTTGTACGTGTGGGAGACTGTGCCTATGTGTGTATGTACCACAGAGCCCCACAGTATAGTCCAGGTGACAAAGCAGGGCTTTCAGAGCTGTGGCTTATAGGCTCATGCCTCCAGCTGATACCACTGATTTAGGGGTGATTAGCAGGAAGTGGATCAGGCTGGCCCTAATTCTTTGCTGGGATGCTGGGAATCCTATCTTGAGCAGAATCTTCTTAGGAGTCTATCTGTGAAGCTAGATGAAAGTAATCAGGTGGAGAGTATATATGTACACCTAGAAGCTTTTTACTTTCTTTTTTCTCTTCTTTTTCTTTTTCTTTTCTTTTCTTTTCTTTTTTTTTTTTGGTTTTTTGAGACAGGGTTTCTCAGTGTAGTTTTGGTGCCTGTCCTGGCTCTCGCTCTGTAGACCAGGCTGGCCTCGAACTCACAAAGATCCGCCTGGCTCTGCCTTCTGAGTGCTGGGATTAAAGGCATGTGCCACCAACACCCGGCCACAAGCTTTTCATGTACTGGCTCTCTCTCTGTTCTTTGCATGAGGTCCATGATACCACCTGGATCAATGGCAGGCCTTCTTAAACACCTTCCCTGGCATAATAATAGAGTGAGAACAACAGGGTCTGCCTTCTGGACCAGCTATTGGCATGTACCTAATTACTCAAGAGGGTCCAGTCCTTTACCTCTAATGGTACCTGAATTTCATGTGAATAATCAATACTATGGAATTCCTCAAGTGGAGAACTGGCTAGGCCACTAATAGAATCCAGATTTGGAAAGAAACATTATGGCATAGTTTCTTGGAGAATCCTATACTAAGACAGAGTGTTTTAAAAGGTGAACTAGGGCTGGGGATGCGGCCCATTTAGTAGGGTGTTTGCCCAGCATGTGCAAAGCTCATCTGGATCTGATCCCCACTTCTGCATAAACTGGGCATGATGCCACATGCCTGTTGTCCTGGGGGAGGTAGAGACAGGAGGATCAGAAGTTAAAGGTTGTCCCCAGCTGCATGGTGTTAGTGTCCATGAGACTCTGCTCTCAAAATAAAAAGTAAGCAAGCAGACAAAGAAGCTGTAAGCCATCTTCAACTCTTTAGCAAGTGTGAAGCCAGCCTGGGGACACATGAGGCCCTGTCTCAAAAAATAAAATAAAGACAAATGTTTAACATGCCCCTCTGTCTCAAAGAATAAAATAAAGTTAAAACTAAAAAAAAACAAACAAAAAAAAAAAAAAACCAAAAAAAAAAAACCTATTTTATGCTTGTGGGTGTTTTGCCTGCATGGATGTCTGTTCACCGCATGCCTCAGGGGTCAGAAGAGGTGTTTGGTACCCTGGAACTGTGAGCCACCAGGTGGATACTGGGAATCAAACCAGGGTTCTCTGAAAGAACAGTCAGTGCTCTTAACCACTGAGCCATCTCTAGCCTCAAAGTTAAATTTAAAAAGAAAAAACAAAACGTGAATTGAAGGGCTTGAGGTGTGCTTCAGTAGTAGAATGCCTGCTTAGTGTGTATGATACCTGAGTTCACTATCCCGAGGGTAGAGAAATAAAAACAGACAAAAATGGTGAGTTGAAAAGAGCAGATTTTGACTCAGTTTCCAGTTTGGTATTTCTGGGTAAAACGCTTAGAGCTTGGTTTTCTTATGTGGAGACGGGGAAAGCCTATAGTTCTTTCCTTGGCTCTGGTGTGCCCATCTAAAGAGGCATGAACGTATAGAAATGTCTGAATTCATTTTCTGAGTGTCTTTTAAGTCCACTGTTTCTCTTCAGGGCCGGGAGGGGGGGCAGCAGAAAATGAGGTCCAGGATTGCTGAATGCTGTGTGGTCTCCCCTGCTGGCTCTGTCACCAGCAGGCTTCACGGCCACGAAGAGCAGAGGCTCCAGGTGGCCTGTCCAGCTGCCTAAGTTTCCCTTCCCTGGATGGTGCTGAGAAGGGTGTCCCATTTGAGGTCAGCTGGTTCTGCAGGCATTGGGCTGGGCTGCTTGGGCCGATGGACAATGCAGATGGTAACTCATAATCTGGCCTTTGCTCTCTCTCTAGCTGTAGCATTTGCAAGAAGAAGCAGAACAGACACTTCATTGTTCCAGCTTCTCGATTCAAACTCCTGAAGGTTAGTACTTACAAGCAGGGTCAGAACGGGTAGAGCCCATGTGTAAGGACCCAGGACCCCCTACCCCATCTTTTCAGCCAGCTTGCTGTACAGCGTGAGGGGCGGAGAGCTTAGTAGGACCTTTTAAGGGCTTTGAGATCCTTTTTTTTTCTTCGGTGGAGTCTCACTGTGTAGTCTAGGCCAGCCTCAAACTTAACGATCCTCTTACCTAAGCCTCCTGAGTCCTGGGATCGCAGAGGTGTACATTATTCCTAGTTTCTGATTACCTTCCATTCAGGTTCATGTCTTTCTTCTTTCTTTCTTTCTGGTAGGTACTGGGGATTGAACTCAGGACCTCGATTATGGTAGGCAAATGCTTTGCCACTGAGCTCTGTCCCTAACCCCCAGGTGTACTTCAAATGGCTTAGCTGTTTTTCCTTTAAATCTTTTATTTGTTAGTGGGGTAGGCGCATGGCACAGCACACATGTGGAGGCCAAAAGACAGCTCTGTGGAACTGGCTTTCTCCTTCCACCTTACAGGGTCTCTAGGGTCACACTCAAGTCGCCAGGCTCCTGTGGTAAGAGAAGGCTACCTGTTGAGCCTTCTCACTAGTGCCCAGTTATTTACTTTTGGAGTTGATAAATTGTTTGTTTTGAGACAGCCAGGCTGGCCTTGAACTCCCGATCCTCGTGTTTCTGCCTCCTTGAGGGCTGGGGTCATGGCATGTCTTCCCTTTGTTTTGGAAAGCAGATTCGATATTATTGTAGAAATATTTTCAGATTCAGAAAATCAATTAAAATCATTTTGAGGGTTGGGATTTAGCTCAGTGGTGGAGCGCTTGCCTAGCAAGTGCAAGGCCCTGGGTTCAGTCCTCAGCTCCAGGGGGAAAAATCATTTTGAAAACTGAAAAATTATCTGAATAACCTGTATTACTTTTGAAAAATTATAAGAAAAATAAAATCATTCAAAAGTAATCACTACTATTTTTTGACACACATCTTTATACATTATATTCATACATTATATTCTCTCTCTCTCTGATTGAGTCTCATGTATCCTAGGCTGCCCTTGAACTCCTGATCCTCTTGTTCTTATCTGAGCACTGGAATTACAGATGTGTGCCACCATGCCCAGCCACCATGCCCAGCTTATACACTTGCTAGGGTTTGAACCTAGCTTCGTGCATCCTAGGCAAACACTCTCCTGACTGATCTATATTTCTGGCCATTTGTACACTGTATTATTATAGAGATAAATACATCTAAATATGTTGTTACAGCTGGTGGTGCACACTTTTAATCCCAGCATTCAGGAGGCAGAGATAGATGGATCTCTGTGAGTTTGAAGCCAGGTTGGTCTACATAGTGAGTTCCAGGACTGCCAAAGTTACATAGTGAGTCTCAACAAACAAAAAATATATATAGTTGCTTTTAAATTATATTTTAGTAGTGAATTCCTGGCTTGAGTCCAGTTTTAAAATTTTTATTATTTTATAGGTATGAATATTTTGCCTGCATGTATATATGTGTACCTTATAAGTGTCTGGTATCTGTGGAGGCCAGAAGAGGGCATAAGATCCCCTGGAATTGGAGTTAAGGATGGCTGTAAGCCTCCACGTGGTGCACGGAACTGAACTAGGGTCCTCTGTGAGAACAGCAGCTGAGCTAGCTCTCTCTCGAGCCCCTACATTTTATTTTATTTAATACTATATGTATGTCTGTAGGCACACATGCCATAGTGTACCTGTGGAGGTCAGAGGACAACATACAAGACTAAGTTTTCTCCTTCTACCATGTAAGTCCTCAGGTCACCAGGTTTGCATGGGAAGCTCTTACCCATGGAGTCATCTCACCTTTATCATTTATTTATTTTAAGTATGGGATCTTGCTCTGTGGCCCAGACTGCCTCCTGGGCTTCTAGCCTTAAGAGGTCCTCCTGCTCCAGCCTCCTAAGTACCTACGACTAAGTGCATACTACCATGATTGTTATATTTTTTTATCAAAATATTATATAAGCCAATGGCTGGCTAGGCTTATGTTAACTTCATACAAGCTAGAGTTACTGGAGAGAAGGGACCCTCAATTGAGAAAATGTCTCAGTAAGATCGGGCTATAGGCAGACCTGTAAGGCATTTTCTTTTTCTTTCTTTTTTTTTTTAAGATTTATTTGTTTATTATGTATACAGAGGAGGGTACCAGATCTCATTACAGATGGTTGTGAGCCACCATGTGGTTGCTGGGAATTGAACTCAGGACCTCTGGAAGAGCAGTCAGTGCTCTTAACCTCTG